CGAGTAGGAGAGGGTAGAGCTCAAACCATAGCCGCCATCCAGGAAGTGCCCGATCCAAGTCGGAGCAGGATCCGCCCGAATCAAAGTCGGAGCAGGATCCAGGAGTTGCGGCGGCGGCGACACGACGAGGGCCTGGGGCGACGATGGCTGGCTTAGGGATGGAGACGGAGGCGCTCAAACCCTAGCCGCCATGCTTTCTTGGGCGACGCGACGCGACACGAGACGGGAGTAGCGAGCGAGGAGGGAGTGGTGACTGACCGGGAAGAAACAACACGACCTCGGATGCGTTTATTCTAAGCCGCGCGGATTGACGGGTTGGGGTGGAAAAGGCACGGGCTTATTTTGACCCACGAGGTTTCCAAATGGTGCTGTGGATCACGACAGGGAGCAGCGCCGCGGGCCTCTCTCCACCCGCGGATCAGGCTGGGATCCCCGCAGGTATGCCCCTATCCAAATGAGCCCTTAGTACTGTACAACTGTGCGTTCTCCAACTCCAAGGTTAACAGGGCTCGTCATTGTGTCACGGTCAACGCAAGCAACCACAACGTGATGAACATAACTACGCAAGCAACCTATATACACTGTGATGGAGACATCCTTACATGCAAAACCAGACCCCTTGCATGTAAGATTTGCAAACAGCTAATTCTTTTAGTAAATTATTATCGACACCAAAGAATGATATATATATATATATATATATGTTTTCTTTTGCAAAAATGTTAACAACTACATCGTACTACTACTTTTCACGGCTAGATTTATATATTTTTTGGTTTAATAAGACATCAAAAGAAACTAAGGAACCATCCAATTCTAGAGTTTGAAAAAATGGCATTCTTAGAATGATCTTATCCCTGAAGTTTCTAAGATAAAACCTAAGATCTTGTGCGCAAAAAAAAAACCCCAAGACCTTGACATCAAAACATCAAGTGTCTACACTTGGCAACAAGGGTGCCCTAGCACAACCCACTAACCAGAGCCACTCAATTAGCTTGATTGCATTAGGGTATGAAATAGCCGAGAGCCAAAATCACAACATGATGGGTAGACTTGCTCTAACCTAGACGTCTGGACGGGATGATTACTATTGGACGCTTCACCTGACTCGACTGTATGATTTTTTTCTGATCTATTCACTAGCTGGCTACCTTATCCTCTCACCTACACTACTTCCTTATCCCCCTCTCTCTCTCTCTCTCTCTCTCTCTCTCTCGTCCCATCTCGTGGCTCTATCACTCTCTCTTCCCTCTCTCCACAAAATCACAAAGCAAACCAGCTTGTAAGACTTAGCCGACCCTTATTGGTGAACATCGCTATCAATTCAGAGTAGCGCATCCATCAATTCATGTAGAGACACAAATCAATGGAAATCAAGCACGTTTTTTACTTTCCCATGATATACCGAGCAAAACGATTATAGTAGAAAAAGCTATGAGGGACGTTGGTTGGAGTGTGAGAGGAAAGGAGAGTCAAGGGCCTAAGGCAGTCTTGACTAACTGCGTGAAAAAAGGAAATCAAGCGGGACGGCTCCTTTAGATCAATGTATCAAAAGCACATGACATCATTTGGATTTGTCCTACTTCTCAAATTCTATGGAATGGGAAATAATTGTGGAAATTACTCAGATGAAGTGTTTGGATGCGTCATAGTTAAAGCACATGGATGCATGTCAGAGTTAGATGTTCCTTAGCTAGAGAGAGATAAAGAGAGAAGGTGCATTATTGAAATCTGAAAGGGATCGGAAACACAAGGCCACATCTCTTGTTAGAATTCCTCCAAAAAACGGAGGAAGTCTTCCTATGCTATGAAATTCCTTTGCACAAGTATCGCTATTGCAAGGTAACTCATATGAGTTTCTTCCCTTTGGATTTTGAACCCCGTAGTTCACTTCCACAATTCCTTTGTTCGAAAGGAACAACAAATGACTGATTGTAGCTGGTTATTTACTCCATTCTGTCGCATAAAAATAATGTTACGACCAGAGAGTGCAGATTAAGATGGTCCGAACACCTTTTCTAGACGGAGGTACTCTAGTATTAACCTACAACTACAAGTAACTTGGTACTATAATTAGGGGGGTATAGTTTTGGGCCGCTCGCGTCATGTGTGAACGCACTTGACCCATACTTGCAAATATTTTTAATGAAAAATACATTCCTAATTGCAAATAACATGAATTAGGTTATGTCTGGATATTCTAATTAAGGGAAATGATAATGAAATGGAAAAATAAGAATAAGATCTCAACACAGCTATCTACCTAAAATCTACTATTTAGATAGTTTATTATGCAAAGGCAATAATCACTATGACATAGGAAGATCCAAACATACCCACTTTTTTATTTAGAATCTAGATTTTGTATTCACTATCTAGACTTTAGATTCTCAGTATAAAAATCAGACCCAAATAAGCCCTTAATTGCACAAAAATACACGGTATTCTTCATTTCCTTTCATCACGGCTCACATAATAATTACAAATTGATTGGTAAACAAATACTAGAAAAGAATTACGAAGCCTTGATCGTGTACACGAAGATAGAGAGCTAGCAAGTGCGATGACTGACAGGTGGTTGCTTCTTGTTGCGAGCTGCTAGTCCGGTTGAGCACAAGATAGGTCCAATGTTCTAATTCCCTGTTGCCTCCGATCCATATATCTCCATTGTAGTAACTGGATGTACAACAAACCGAACGGAATTCCCTGTTGCCTCCGATCCATATATCCCCATCGTGACAAGCATAACCTTTGTTCTTGGTCAGAATATGACTACTGGACCGATTGCAGAAGAGGGTTTTTAAAGGAGCTGTCGTTGCTCCAGTTCAGAGTAAAATCAAGTCAAGAAGATCAGTTTAACTCATGGATTCAGAACCTGGTTTAAGCAGCTGTCTAGATTTAATTTTTTTTTTAATTTTTTTTTAATTTATTTTCTTCCTTCTCCCCTTTCTTTGTAATTCCCTGTGACTTCTTGGCTGTGTCTTAATAAATTTCACTGTAGGGACTTTAGTCCCTCCAGATTCTTCAAAAGGAAAAAAAGAATATGACTACTGTATATGAGTAAAGATATGATCACACCTAATCACTTAATAAGCAAGAAATCGTAGAGCTCCAGCTCATCCAGAAGCCGTCGTTGATACTCATCCACTGTAGTCATCTTCATCCATCAAGCATTCAAGCACGTGGCAAGCACCACCGATCTTAACCCAATGCAGATCTTTTTGTTCGGATGAACCTTCACCACGAAAAAATAAGACACTGTTTGTCTTCCCATATAGCAACTCGATTCTGATCGCTGCACTGTGGAAATTTATTTCAATTTTTTATTTTGCTAGTTTGGAGTTTTAAAGCGATGATCAGCAGAATAAAACATAATCAAAACGTTTGGTGAATTTTTCGCTTTTCGATATTATATAATTCAAAAACGTTTGGCTGATGGTTTCTGCGGCTGATAAGCAAAATACTAGTTCAAGCGAACAGTGGTGAAATTCTAACATTTGTATTAATTGAGAAAATTCTTACCCCAAGTCAGCCGCAGTGAATCCACCACCCTCCAGCGTCCACCCCACCGTTCATAGGATTTTTATTTTTATTTTTAATCATTTTTTATTTAATATTTTAATAATAATTGCTTCTATTTTTTTTCGGATCGGACTCTTTTGGTTGCGTTAGCGTCGCGTCGGCGCGACCAAATAATGTTGTTGCGCTACATGCATTGGTGCGGCAACATCCGTCACGTTAGATGGCGTTTCCGACGTGGAAATAGCTGTCACGCCACTTCCGCACGCGTGACAGTATTGTTCTGTCGCGTCATCGGGAGTGGCGTGACAAGACCGAACCTTTAAAAAATCATAACTCTTTGATACGATGTCGGATGAAGATGAAATTTATATGAAATTATAGCTCTCTATGAGATCTACAACTTTGTAGTTTTGAGTTTTTTTTATTTAAGGATGTTAAGATGCTTAAAAAAATAATATAAAATTTCAGAAGAGTAATAACCGTGTACAAGTGCTCGTCGTATTAGAAAAATAATATATTTTTTGTATTTTGTCAAATAAATATACTTTTTACGTAAAAGTAGATCTCACAACTTTTAGGTATCATTGTTGTAGATATCATTGAAATCTCCAACTTTGATATAAAAAGTACCTTCATTTGACATGATATTAAAACAATATTATTTTTCTAATGCGATAAGCGTCAGTACACGATTACTATGTTACTAAAATTTTATATTATTTATTTGAGCATCTTAACGACTCTAAATTTGAAAACTCAAAATTATAAAATTATAGATCTCATTGAGAGCTACAACTTTTATGTAAAAAGTATCTTCATTTGACAACATACGAAAAAACATTATTTTTCTAATACGACAAGCACTTATACGCGGTTATTATGCTTCTAAAATTTTATATTATTCTTTGAGCATCTTAACATCCTCAAATGAAAAAACTCAAAACTACAAAGTTGTAGATCTCATCGAAAGCTATAATTTTCATATAATTTCATCTTCATTCGACATCATATCACAGAGTTATTATTTTTTAAAGGTTTTGTCTTGTATAGAATAATACTGTAACACCAGCGGAAGTGGAATGATAATGTTTTCCACGTCGAAAACGTCGTCTAACGTGTCATATGTTGTCGCGCCAATGCATATGGTGTAACAACGTTATTTAGTCGCGCCGGGCAAAAGGGTCAAATCCGTAAAAAGTTTTTAGGACCTGTTATTATTAAAATATTGAATAAAAAAGATTAAAAATAAAAATTCTCCCCGTCCGTAACGCGGTCAGTATTTGGAACGTGTGCTACGACTAGGAGGGCGTAGCTTCAGCAGACAAGGGTAAAAATGTCTTCCCTTTCCCTTTCCCTTTCCCAATCCCCTCGCCACCACAACATCGCATTGACAGATCGTCGTTCATCCTATCCTCCTCCGGTCCTCTCCCGGGATCTCCTCCGGCTATAAATTTCCGGCCCCAATTCGCCCAATCCAGATGCGCAAACATCGAATCGTCTCACTCGTGGCTGCCCTGCTCGTGCTGCTTGCCCTCGCCGTATCGTCCAGCCGCAACGCACAAGAGCAGTCTATGGCGTTGGCCGGTGGCATCAAGGACGTGCCGGCGAACGAGAACGACCTCCACCTCCAGGAACTCGCCCGCTTCGCCGTCGATGAGCACAACAAGAAGGCCGTAAGCCCTCTACCCCTTTTCTCTGTACCCCTTCTCTGCGACGTGCCCGGGTTCTGCTGCGTGGTTGTGCGGTGCTCACGGCTTTAGGGATCATATGAATGAATTCCTAGGTAGCAGCTGCCTCGTTTTGGTCTAATTTGACTCTCTGTTGGCCGAATTGCCGAAAGTATACTTGATGTCCCAAACTCTGCAAATCTGAACATCTTTACGGAGGCATGACGTTGAGCAATTGCGATACAGATACAAACAAAGATTTCCTACTGACCTGATGATTAGTTTTTTTTTTCCTTCAGAGGTTCAGTAGGTAATCTTGGTTATGCGAAAATTTCTGATGCCCATTGAAATTCATTGTGGTCTTGGATTCATGAGTAATCACCTATCACCACCCAAGAGGTCACCTGAAATAACGATCAACATTACTAATATTGAACTTTGAAGCCTAGCCAAATCAAATATTAAATTTTTTGACAGGTTTCAATCTTTTATGGTAAAGATACTCAGTAGAGGTAAAGAAATAAAGATTGTTCACGCTTTACCACTATCTCTATGCAATCACAAAACAAATGGTACTAATTCACTGTTTCTATGTGTGTGAGGCGGTAATTTGTTGTACACGAGGACCTCTAACAGGATTGATTAGTCAGATATAGGTGTGCTAACTCAGTAATTGCTTTTCGTTGTTCATTAGCAAAGTAGTAGTCACTTTAGCCTTTGAAAAGATATATGCTAATGTTTTGGTCCGCGACAAATGCAAAATTTTGGATTGCAACTAACCTTTTGTGTTGCTCTCTGCAGAATGCTCTTCTGGGGTACGAGAAGCTTGTGAAGGCCAAGACACAAGTAGTTGCTGGCACGATGTACTATCTCACTGTTGAGGTGAAGGATGGCGAAGTCAAGAAGCTCTACGAAGCTAAAGTGTGGGAGAAGCCATGGGAGAACTTCAAGGAGCTGCAGGAATTCAAGCCTGTTGAAGAGGGTGCTAGCGCCTAAGGTAGATTTGTGCATATTTTACATACTGTCTGAAAACTATGTTTATTTTACATCCTTAGACCTTGGTGGCTTAGTGATAATACAATGAACAGTTCTTGCCATAGTAGAATTAGATTGGTCCCTTTTTTCAAAGGAAGGGCAGGAGCTCTTCCATTCATTTAAGGTAGAAAGAAAAAACAAGGTTACAGTTACAGCCCAAATCCTCACAAGTAAAGTACAGCACTACAGCACACCAGGATCAGTACCGAAACAAAAGGCCCCTGGACATGGAGAAGCAACCAGGCTATCTAATGAAAAGCACATATTGGCCCGTGCTACAACATCATTTGATGAAAGTCTTTATGTTCCATGTGATGTAAATTGCCACAGAACAATTTATATTAGGCTTAGACAATTTAGATTGGTCCTCCGAAACAACCCTGTGGATGAAGATTGCCACGGAACAATTTATATTAGACTTAGACAATTTAGATTTGTCCTCGAAACAGCCCTGTGGTTCATTTTGTTCCCATCCGTATGAAATTATAAGCAGTTGGCACAGAACCGGTTTGTTGCTTGGTTTGTATAGCAGTCAGTGATACAGGCCCAATTCTGTTCATTGCTGAACAATTTATGTTCCAATCCTTACGAGAATTTTATATTAGGTTTTTAGCTGTCCACCACTCATTGGGAGTGTTTTATCTGACATTATACATTGATCAAAATCTACAAATTGCAGGATCTCTCGTCTCCACGTGCAATTTGCTGCCTGAAGCGCAAAACAAATTTACAGAATAACGAGCTGCTTCAGAACATGCTAGATCATGCTCCCTTGTGTAATTTCATAAAAAAGTACAGTGCTCTTAATGTAATATCTTTAAATTGCCGTGCCCTGTGTAATATCATGAATAAGAGTTGCTATTATGGATTCTAAAGGTGTATTAACTACCCTACATGGCAGAATTCCCATATTACTTTGCTGAAGTCTTTGTTGGAATATACATGGCAGAATTCTCATATTGCTTTGCTGAAGTCTTTGTTGAAATGTTGCATGCAGAATTTTTTGTCACGTGACAATCCCATCCTATCTCAGCTTAGACAATTCAGATCATATCTTGTAAACCAAGCAAGCGCCTGGATTGCAAAGTCAGCTACACCAGATGACCTGAGAGAATATGCTTGTGATGACGTCGAAGCTGTTTGAGTGCCCTAGACTTCAGGATAATCAAAAGTCTTGCGTTCGAATCCGGTTTGTTATTCGCTTAGGATGGGTGTGATTGTTGCGTTTGACATCTATAGCTCAGAAGACGAGCTATCGGACACGAAAATTTGCGGGAGCCGCCTGATCTACTTATTAAAACTGTCATGAGTAATTTGGATTTTTGGTAGAGTGACTTCCGGATTTGCTGCTAGAAAAATTAAAACCTGAACAAATTGGCTTTGGTTAAATCGGTTTAACCGCAATACAGTCTACTCATTAATACAGTCATGAGTAATTTGGATTTTGGTAAAATTACCTCCTTATCTGCTGCTAGAAAAATAAAAACCGAAACAAAATTAACTTTGGTTAAATTGGTGTAACGGCAATGCATATCCAATGACAATAACGATTCACAGTAAATAATGAGATGCATCGTTGGTTTCTTTCCCACTTTCATCACCTTGAACTCTCAAAATAGTAAAATCTAGGTCCTTCAACTTTTCTTGTAGTTCATTTGAAGTGTGAATTGAGATCCATGATTGGTTCAAGTGAATCTAGAACGAATCACTTGAAAAGTTAAGGGATCCAGATGATTGGATCACTTTGAGAGGTGATGGATCTAGATGAGAAAAAAAAAATGAAGGACCCACAATACATTTTACTCTTAAATAAATACTCCATGGTAATAAACTTTGAAAATTATTACTTTAATTCAAATGTTGTGTCATATCAATATGGTAATTAAATTTAATCACTATGTTTTTTTTATAAAACAACAATGCTACACATGCAATTCTTCCATTCTTTGATCTAGCAAATTCAACATCTTGAGTGCCATATTGCAGATTGAACCTAGTGTTTGTCATTGTACATTTGTACTAACTCTTGATTTTTTATATATATTTGAGTCAACAAACTTGTATGGCCGTGTCTTTCAGGCCACCAACTTACGGATTTTAGTAATTTGCGTCCTTAAATTTGTACAATGGTATCATTTTCATTTCTAAACTTGTCCTAAACTCTAGGATGAATCCAAATGGGCTATGACCCGCTCCATGCACTGACGTGACATGTCGATTGCGTGTCGGCGTGGACTCAATATGTGGGATCCACGTGTCAACATCTCTCTTCTTGCTCTAAAACCTCCTCCATCCACACTACGCGCTGGTCAGGGCTTCCCCAAACACCAAATCTAGTGAAGGCTCATTGATAGCAAGGACAAACTATAGGAACCTGTGAAGTCGTCATATGCGGGAGCGAGATCCACAAGCACAAACGATAGTGTTGGTATGTGCCGCATCCAGCCGTCCGTCCAAGTTCTCTCTCTCTCTTCTGTTTTTTTTAGGGTAGCAACGATGTGGAGTCAAGGCTGAAATGGCCAGTGAGCAAGCAACGTTTGGGCCCGCGGCCCTGCATGCACGGTCAGCCTGGGCATCGTTGTGGCTGGGCCGCGGAGATCCACATCGTTGGCTATTGTAATGGGCCATCCGTTGGTCCGTTGCAGTACATATTGACAGTGTCACTTTGCATTTTAATCCCACATCGTTTGCTGAAGCGAATGCCCTGCTATTTGTCTGAGCTTACGATGGTACTGTTCGCTTCTTTTATAATCCGTTTTTTTCAACTTGTTTTTTCAGCCGGAATAGTGTTTTTCTCTCACACCAAATTAGCCGGAATAATGTTTGGGTTTATTTTTTTCAGCGAAGCGAACGGGGCCATAGAAAGATCAAGCAGCTGCGCAGTGGACGCAAAGCGAACTATTCTTTCAGTCTTTTACTAAAGAAATACCGATTATCTTCCTCACCTTAACCTTTGAGAAATAAAGGTTTCTTCTCATGACCTCAACAGATCAAAAGAAATTTAGCTCTAGTGTCTCTCCCATCAAATTTATCTCATAGGAATCAATTTATGTCCACCAATCTGTTGGGATTTTAAAAGAACAGAGACCACCAATCTATTCTCAGAACACAGCCACTGATGCTCTGTGATAAAACTAAACTGTATACACGTTGGAAGGAAAAACACATAACTTGCTCTCTGATTAAACTAAACTGTGTACACGTTGGAAGGAAAAACACATAACTTGCAACCGAGATAAACAAAATACTCATTATAATGTGGACGATCCATATCCTATCCATCATATTTTCATGGCACCTTAACAAAGCAACCATCGCTGATCTTGGCGGTGAACTGAGAAACCTGAACACACAATCTAAATGTGCCCCAAAATCAAACAAACCTACAAGAACAGAAAAGAGAGGGATTGGGGCCTTACCCTGGAGGGACATCTCCTGCGTGTCGCGAGCGAGCAGGCAAATGAACCTGATCGATATGGGTCATTAGGCTAGTCTCAGTGGGGGTTTTATGTCGCTGTTTCCAAGACTCAATGTGTTGGAAACAATGTAGATAAGTTTCGTCTCCATGAAACTCATTTCATCCTATAAAACTTTTATCATCTTTTTCTTTATATATTGCATGGCATGTCAACTTATTTAATGCTATGACTCTCGTGAAACTGGCCTTAGTGCAAGAGCATTTTCAGTTAGTCAGATGGCATGATAAAAGGGAATAAGTTAAAGAAAATAGAAATGGAGAGAAAAGGAGTGGAATCCCTTGAATCAAAACAATTCGCAGCCACAAGGTATCTAAAGCCGTGTGAATTGTGTGTTAAAAGACGCAAGACTTATGTATTCAACGTCAAATATCAAAATTTATCAAAATAAAACCCCACATTTTCCAAAGGGGGTCTTATTCAGCGTTCTGTTCTTCTGCATAGCTTCTGGCATATGGACCAGCCAAAGGCCCAGAGCCAAGATGGTAATGCCGAGGAGGCTGGTGCATATTTGGGAGGTCTCAATTTCAAGCTTTACACTGTTTTCTGCGACGTACTAGTAATAATAGTAGTTTGCAATGCTGAAATTATAAATTACTACCGGGGCAAAGTGTATGTCCATCGAGGAAGTTCTGCAGTACACAAAGTACTCGTACACGCACAGCACCAGAAAAGAGATAAACGGTGGGTGCATACAAATCAAATCTGCAGCGACATCATCAGCTTCCAAAACCGGGGAATGCAGATGCCAGGACGCTGGACGCAGACGGCTCACATCTCAGACGGGACACGCCTGTACAGCTCCTCCTTGTCCAGGCGCGGCGTGGCGACGACCTGCAGCGGCGTGGCCATGAAGGTGACGAGCCCGGGAGACTCCATCATACTCACGTCCTCGGGCCGGGTCCCCTCCGGCAGCGTCCACCTGAAGTGGTGCAGCATGTGGCCGATCATGGACGCCACGAGGTTGATCCCGAGCTGCGCGCCGGGGCACATCAGTGAATAATCAAGCACACAAACAGATGTTCGGCAGTTCCACATCTGGGCTCTCTCCTCCAGAAGTCGACCCACCACCGCGGATGCGCCAACAGGACAGGATCATGTCTCTCTTCTTGCAGCCTGGCCCGAAGTCCCTGTTTTCTTTCAGTTCCATTCCATTGCCGGAGCTCGTGGTCCGTGCTCTACTCAATTTTTAGGGCTGTGACACCATCCACGTATTGCGTAAGAGTGCCACCTGTGAGTCTTGATGTTTTCGCGTTTGCACTGGCATTGCGCCGAGTGCCCGAGAGCTCAGGTCCCCCTGGCTGACGCCACGCAGCCCAACGAGTGCGCGTTGTTTGGACGTGAACGCGCGTGAGTTTCCGGCCCTGAGCGTACCACCTCTTCAGCTTACGGTTCGCTAGGGATGCGTGGCCTGTGGGGTGTGGGCTGGTAGTTGTAGGTGGCAAGGTCGCCGTACGTGGTCGTTGGGCTCTGGGCATGGATCAT